TAGATAGATAGATAGATAGATAGATAGATAGATAGATGATAGGTGGATAGAGGATAGATGGATAGATAGTGATTTATATCTCAGATGGTTTTACGAGGCTGCTAATAATTATATAAATAGTGAGCATATGGAATGGTAGTGCTTACTAGAATTTTATCGATTTAATTTGGAATTGATCTTTTCTTCTGTCCTTGCAGAATCTGGCGGTGAACTGGATATTGTAGTAACCTCCAATAAAGAAGTGAAAGTGGCTGCGGTCCGAGATGCCTTCCAGGAAGTCTTTGGCTTAGCGGTGGTCGTAGGGGAAGCTGGACAGTCCAATATTGCCCCACAGCCAGTAGGCTATGCGGCTGGATTAAAGGTAGTAAAGGCTTTTCCAGGGTATGGAACTGGCAGTTAATTTTTCTATAATTATGATAATGATCCTGCTGTCTATATGCATGTATTTGTGTGCTGAAATAGTATCATCTTTCCTTTCAGTTAAACAGTGCTGTAATATTATGAAGATATAATAGGATCTTAATGTAATGAAATCTCAGGGTTTGGTTATTGGAGGAGGAAAGGAAAGATACTGAGAGAGCATAAAAAGAATAGTTATTCCTGGGACTGGAGAGGTGGCTCAGTGGGTAAGAGCACTGGCTGCTCTTGCAGAGGACCCTGGCTCGATTCATAACACCCACATGGTGGCTAACAACTGTCTGTAACTCAAGTTCCAGGGGGATCTGACGCTCTATTCTGACATCCCACAGGCATTCTACAACATAGGTACATTTATATACATGCAGGGAAAACACTCATACACATGAAATAAAAATAAGTGAAAAATGCTTTAAAAAGGAATAGTTAATCCTGAAAGGAATCTTCTTAACCCAGTATTAATTTTCAAATCAAATATTGAAATTAAATTATTATATCCTTCTGGGTGTTGGGGGCACATGCCTTTAATCCCAGCACTCAAGACACGGAGACTGGGGAAACTCTGTGAGTTCCAGGCCAGCCAGGGCTATATAGTAAGACCCTGTCTCAAAACTACAACAGAAGAAAATATAATCTCCTTTGAATCCCAGTTTTTTTATTTCTGTTAAAATACAGAAAATATTAGATTTCTAGGAATTCTGTTCTCGTGTGTGTGTGTGTGTGTGTGTGTGTGTGTGTGTGTGTGTGTGTATATATTTGCTTTCTCGTGTATTCTTATAAGGACGTGATCATGCAGAATGAAGGAAGTCGGTGGTATACGAGCATCTTTCTACCATGAACGACAAGCCAGAGGAAATGCTAGCCACTTTGAGTTCACTTCCCTCCTTCCATATCATATTGCCATGTTTGCAACAGAATTCCTCCAAGAACTGCAAAGATCTTTCTCCAGTTCCTTGTGGTCTCTCAAGCCCACCCAGCCATGCTCTGCAGTCATGTGCGAGTGCATCCAGTCACCAGCCCTGATTGCTCTAGCTTTCCAGACAGCTGATCACCCTCTTTTCTTAGACAGGGTCTCCTGTAGCCAGGCTGGCTCAGACTTGTTATGTAGCCAAGACAGGCCTTGAACTCCTGACCCCTCCCCACTTTTCACCCCCACCCTCAGCCCCACCCTCACCCTGTTCTGCCTCCTGAGTTCTGGGGATTACAGGCACGCCCCACCTCACTGGCTTTCACTGTTCTTTAGTGTTTTTTTCCTCCCACTTGGTGTGGACTTGGCTTTCTTCCAGGGTCACTCTGCTGTGCTTCCGACTGGTGCCTTGTCTCAGCCTGCACACCCTCCCTTGCTGTCCTCAGGCCATCCCTGGCCACAGACACCTCTGTGCTCACACCTGCAGCTTTACAACTCTGCTGAGACTGCCCATGAATTTTGATTTAGGTAGAAGCTGCCTTGTTGACAATGTTACTTGAATATCTCAAGCTCAGTATGTCTAGATCTCAACTTTTCTTCGCCCTGCACTTAGCCCCAGCCTCTCCATCTCATTCAAAGTCAGTTCGGTCCTTCTACTTTCTCAGGCAAGAAACCCTGGACTTGTCCATAGATTTTCCTGTTACTTAGTTCTGATTGATAGCAAGATGGGCAGTTCTTGGTTTTGCTGTGGTTATTTTCTGTGACATTGCCCTGGGCACTACATTAGTGAATATTGCTTCTTGCTACCAAGGGAAATAGGATTAGGTTCCTGTAGGTCACAGTATTACCAACCTGCCAGCACACAGCTTTTAAAAATGTCTAATTCTGTTTAAATACATCTTTATATAGTTACATAGATATTTGTGTATGTATTTATCATGTATTGACCTTATAGCCAACAGTCCTGTGACTCTTAATTGAAGTTTATTTAGAACCTACATATTTTCCCTGTTAAGTATTTCATAGCCTTCTATGCTTAGGAGCATTAGACAATACTTCAGCATTATACTGGGACCATTTGAGACAGAAATCTTTTTTTATAAAGTATTTTATTATTTTTATTTTATGTGTACAAGTGTATTACCTGCATGTGTGTAAGTGCACCCCTGACATGCAATGCCCAAACTTGTCAGAAGAGGGTGTCAGATCTCCTGGAACTTGAGTTATGGATGGTTGTTAGCCACCATGTGGGTGCTGGGAATTAAACCCGGGTCCTGTGTAAGAGCACCTTGTGCTCTTAACCACTAAGCCATCTCTCCAGCCCCCAAAACAGAAATCTTTTAACACTAAAATGTAAAAGGTGACACAAAATAAATGAAAACACATTTGTTTACAGCTTTATTTGACTCAGCTGGAGGTATACAATTCAGGCAACCCTCCCCGCCTTTTTTGTGGTTTTGTGCATGTCTAGTTTTGAGATTAAAAATAAATTTTAGCAAATAGTAAACTCACCAGTAGAGACTTAATAAATATTGAGGATCAACCATATTGACATTTAAGGACTGTGCCCTGGAACATCATAAAGGATCTTATAATAGCTTACTCTGACTGACACCCTCACGAATCAGGTACTCAGATGCTCTTCCTGCACTCAATACATGTGAAGCTTTAGAATGAGAGAAAGTGGGGGAAAGCCTGGGGTGTTGATTATAATTAGTAATTAAGCGTCTTACATTGGCACTAGATTATTTCTAATTCTGATAGATTCTGCTGTGCAAATTTGAGGTTCTTTTTCTATTAGGGCTAGATTTTATTTAAATGGAAGGTGAGAGTCTCTCTCTTCTCTCTTGTATTTGTTTTTTGAGGCAGGTCTCCCTATAGCTCAGCTGGCCTAGAATTTGCTGTGTAGACCAGGCTGGCCTCGAACTCACAGAGATCCGCTTGTTTCTGTGTTCTGAGTGCTGGGACTAAAGGTGTGTACTACCACACCTGACTTTCTCCTTTTCTCAATTCGGGACTGTTAGTAATTGCCTATATCTAAATATAATATGTTTTATATAATGTGAGTCAGATTACACTTTATGTTCATGATGGTCTGTGCTTACACACACACAGAGCAGTGCTGTTTAATCTGCATGTACTTAGAAATGCTTCTGTTAATACTTGGTGATGTGTTAACCCTTGAATTTGACACCAACACTGGTGTACATGTATAGTAAGGTCTTTATGAAATTAATGTCTCTAGGGTTTGAATTTAGTCTTAGAAATGAAAATGGTAAATTAGAAAGAATAAATATGTACCCACCATAATTGTACTTTAAACTAAGGTAAATCACAAACCTTTATATGGATGAGATCTATTTGAAAGACGCGAACAGATCAGGTATCTAGATTGAGTCTGTTTTTGAAATTGGAAAGAATATGTAGGTCTGGGAAAGAAGACATTAAAATTTAGTTTTAGTAGCCAGGCGTGGTGACGTCCTTAGTTCCAGCACTCAGGAGGCAGAGGCAGGTGGATCTCTGTGAGTTTGAGGCCAGCCTGGTCTACATACTGAGTTCTAGGGCCAGCTGAGACTACAGGGAGACCCTGTCTCAAAAAAATTAATTAATTAATTAATTAAAATAAATTTAATTGTAGAAGGTAATCTGGAGAAAATCACAAGGTAGAATTAGGTTATTGAACAAAGAAATGTTGAGTATAATTAACATTACCAACAAAGGAAGGGCTTTCTGTAAATCATGAATCATGGTTTGGTGCTGGTGTTATAGGAAAGGAGTTTGTTAACCCTCTCACAAAGGTTGTCTGTATCTGGGAGGTGAGAGCTTGACACTGCTGAGTTAGGCTATTAGAGCATGTGGCTTTGGGTTTCAAAGGGACATTCTGCAGAGGTGGTGAGGACCAGCGCAGTAAGAGAAGCCTGTCGGTGCCGGAGTGGAGGGTGTTCAGAGAGACAGCTGAGTCCTGAAGACCTGAGTGTGTCCCTGTGAACTTGAAGAGAGGGTCGAATATGTAAGGCTGTTATTTATTAATTATGAAGTGAAGTAGGAAGTTTATGACACTTTAGCAATTCAAAGAAAAATGATTTTAAAAACGTGAAGAGTCTGCTTTTTCATTATGGATATTAAACACTGGGTCTTAAACATTTTGTAGACTTAGGTACACTTACACTGGTGGTATTTAAGATAGGTGCATATTATATTTGAAAGTATTTTTTTTTCTTATGGAAATCTTGTTTCATGGATATTATTGGTAGTTCACTGAATCTTGAAATTTTATTCATATTTAACAGCTTTTTTCTTGTTTTTTTTTTCTTTTTTTAAATTGATTTAAGTGTGTATGTGTATTTCATACAGAACAACTCAAACAATCTTAATCATCTTTATATCTGCCCCCCAAATGGCACCCTCCTGTAGCCCCTCCCCGCAACTGGTACCCATATAGTCTGTCATCCCTGTTACTGCCCACTGTATTGTCAGTGCCCCCAGCCGTTCCCCAGTGCAAGTCCATCCACTGAGTCTAGTCAGCCTGTCTAGAGTCCCTTGTTTTAGGAAGATCAGCTCTTCTTCATCTTGCAGCAAATAGTTGCCAACATCCCTTTAGATAAGATTGGGGTCTGCTGTTCATTTTCCCAGTTTTATGCTGGGTTACTATCTGCCTGAGTTTGCATGGAACTTGTGAATGCTGACACTTATGCCATAGAATCATATGAGCAGTTTCCCAGGAGCTTGTAGGACTCTGTTTCCATATGGTTATGCACATCCTCCCTGGCTCTTAAGTCGCTCTGCCGTCCTCCGCAATGGTCCCTGAGCCTTGGGTGGATCAAGTTTAATAAAGGGGTCCTGTCCAAGGACCATTACTTAGCAGACTCTTGATCTCTACACTTTGGCCATGTGTGACCTTTTGTGTTCCCGGCCCTCTGCTGCATGAGGAGCTTCATTACTGAGAACTGATTCCTTAGTGTCCTCTTCTTTATCCCTGTTCTATGTTCCATGAGCCTTAGGTGTAGAGGTTGCATTGCAGATGTGTCCCTTAGGCC